ATGAATCCAAGTCACAAGAAAGAAGTGTGTGTGTGTGTATGTGTGTGTGTTTACTTGTCTTTCTGGGGACCAAAAAGTGGAGTTTTACTATACTTATGGGGACTAACAGCTCTTATAGGGACAAAGTTCCCGTCCCCACAAATTTGAGGGGATTGTCGAGGCTCAAAATCTTGTTTTAGTGTGAGGTCATGGTTAGATCATGGTTCGGTTTAGGCTGAGGGTCAGGCATTCATCTTTGATGGTTAGGGTAAGGGGCTAGGGAAGCATTATGTCACTAAGATGTCCCCACAGAGATATGAAAACACACCTGTGTGTGTGTTACCTATACCAAAGCCTTCCCTCTGTCTCCTCACTGCTTCCTTTTCACTTCCACTGTCTCATGTTTGCTGTTCTCTTTCTGTGCTCTTCCCTGAATCTTGCCTCCCTTTCCAACTCCGGCCGGTCCAGCCGATGGAAATCTTTGTAGATGACGAAACCAAGCTGACTCTGCATGGCCTGCAGCAGTACTACGTCAAGCTGAAGGATAACGAGAAAAACAGAAAGCTCTTCGATCTCCTGGACGCACTAGAGTTCAATCAGGTACCCACACCACACCTTCCCCACAGCCTAACCCCCCGTGCACATTTTTGTTTTGTCTGTTTGCTTTTCTGTTGATGGGGATTAGATTGTTCATGTCTTACAAGCATGTTACTGTGGGTCCTGCTAGAGAAGCATTAGTCACTTCAAAGATCAAAATAAATGTTATTTATACTACTTGTGTGCAACCCCTCAGCTCATCAACTTCCTGAAACCAGGCTCTATTCTTCTTCTGACTGGCTACACCTCTCAGAAAGAAGGCTGTGTGCCAGAGGACATCTCCTCACATTTACAGTTAAAGAAATACTTAATAAGATATGTACAGTATGTGTGCACAGACAGAAAAGTATACTGGTCCTCTTAAAGGTCCACCACAGTGAGGGGTGCGCCCACCCAGTATTTATGTCAGATATCAGCCAACAGTTCAGTGGAGTTCTGTCTGTTCTTTCATAACTACTAACTAACTAACTAACTAACTAACTAACAACGAGCTTGTCACTGAAACGAGTCGAGCGCTAGTGAGTGTAAAAAGCATGGCTGCCGGTGCTGTCCTGCTTCTCTCTGTCTCTTTTGTCCTGGTGTTACTCTACATGAAACCTTTTGATTCTACTTAAAGTAATAAATAGCTGTTAATGATCGATTGTCTCCCAGTGCAGACGAGGGGCGCACACAGTGAAACAGACGCACACAGTGAAACAGACACACACAGTGAAACAGACGCACACAGTGAAACAGACGCACACAGTGAAACAGAC